GAGAGAGAGAGAGAGAGAGAGAGAGAGAGAGAGAGAGAGAGAGAGAGAGAGAGAGAGAAAGAGGCTATGTTAGGCATAGGAGTAGCCATACCACTTTAAGAAAGGACCGCCAGGGTCCAGGAGGAGTCGGAGGTGGTCCATCGGACGGGTTATTCGGGTCACCCATTCCAGGACCATACCCACCAGCCATTCCGTAACCACCCCCCATCCCGTAGCCACCCCCCATTCCGTAACCGCTGCCCACTCCATATCCGCCGTCCATCCCATACGCACCACCCATGCCACCATAACCCCCATATCCACCATACATTCCAGATCGATAACCCCCATATCCGCCATACATACCCCCGTAGTTTCCAATGCCTCCCATCCCCCCCCCGTACATGCCTGCTCTGCCATATGCTCCATACCCATATCCTCCATAGCCATGATGACCAATTGCTCCCCCTCCATAGCCATTACCAACTGCACCCCCTCCATACCCCAAACCGCTGTAGCCGGTTCGACTCAGCGATGAATTGTAGACTGGGCTGCAACCAAAACAAAAACCATGGATGCCAAAGGCGAGGTTAGAATAACCAGCCCCTGTGGCTGGATAACATAGGGTTCAGGGTTTAGGGTTTAGAGTTTAGGTGCACATGCAAGTCTTAATAAACAGGTCATGCGTTCGAATCCCGACAGATGCTATAAGATTAGGGGCTACCCCCGTTTGTTTTAAAAAAGGAAGGCGCGGTAAGGGGGAAAACCCCTTGGAGACCAGCGGACCCATCTACTTACTACTGGCATGCAAGTCGAGCAGATCATCGGCGTAATCACACCCATCTAGCTAAGGCAACCACCAACAGAAGAATCAACTTTCAACTTTACATGCAACCATCTGCCTCAAGTTCCTCAACCCCCGCCGTTCAACATGATGTCCCAGCGGGACTTGGACCTGCCTCCATGTAAACTAACATAGCAATGTCTTTTTTTTTCCTTTTTTATTTATTTAATTTGGACCATTTCGCGATTTATGCGTGTCATCCTTGCGCAGGGCCCATGCTAATCTTCTTTTCCCTGTATCGCTCCAATTTTAACGGATGTCCTGTAGGACTCGTAGCACTGTCTTATTTATCCCCCTCTGACATCACGGTTCCAGCCTGGACATTGCATTCGCTCGCCCCAGTGTAAAAGAGACTACATATAATGAACAACAGTTGGGAAACAGAGAAGAAGAGGGTCAGCACAGACTAAGCACACACACACACACACACACACACACAGAGAGAATCAAGCAAGATACCATGAGAATCAGCAGCTGCGAGCACAAGGATAAGAGGGGAAGGAGGAGGGGATCAGAGAGGACTAAGAATGGAGAAGGCAAAAGAGTAGTGTGTACCTTGTCGCCCTCCCACCTCCCACGGCCTGGGCGGCATTGGTCTTCCAGCAACCAGAGGCCCACTTGTCTCGGCCCAATTTGATTCTCCAGCGGTCCCATTTCTCTTGCCATCAGACCCATCTGCCTCTGCAACTGTGCCATCGCCTCCTCTGGATGATGCTGCAACAACTGCAGCAGTACGGCTAGCAGTCGAAGGAGGTGCAAAGGGAGACGGCCCTCTGTCACTACTAATAGCGGATCCTGAGGTCTCCCATGGTTTGGGAGGAGGTGGTCTACCTGAGCAGCACATTAACATCATCATGTTTGTCAAGCAATAATATCAACATCATCAACGTCCTCATCATCATTTCTCTATAATTCCTCTTTGCCTACTTTTTGCGAGAGAACTGAAACAAAAACAAAGGGGTACCGGGAGAGGGAGGTGAGGTGAGGGGTTCTGGCAGTGCCTCTTCAACCCCGCCGGGGGTCACCGAGAAGCACCCACCC